TATGGCAGCGAAACCTGGGTATGCCAGAAGAAGCATAAAAGTAAGTTGAATGCAGTGGAGATGCGATCTCTTCGTAAAATGTGCGGCGTTACTATGGCCGACCGAAAGCGAAACGAAGAGATTCGCAATATGGCAGGTTTGAAAGATGACCTTATCACAAAAATTGATAAGGGCGTGCTTCGGTGGTTTGGGCACGTTGAGCGAATGAGTGAAGACCGAATGGTGAAGAAAATATATAGCGCGAAAGTTAATATTAAAAGGTGTCGAGGTAGACCGAGACTAACTTTCGAAGACCATGTGAGCAAATTGCTCGAAGAGGGTAGGGTCAAGAGTACTCGGATACCTAGACGTGCATGTATGAAGAAGATAATGAATCTGAAAGAAGCGAAAGAGATATGTAAGGATCGTGACACTTGGCGATCTGTTCTCTCTGGCTACCCCGTCAGGGATTGTGCGTGAAGATAAGTAAGTAAGTAAGTAATAAAGTCTAGGCCCAGGATGCAGTCGTCCATTATATCAGCCACGATGACATTATGCAGGTAGATCATGTTGCCTAGCTTCAACTCCATCTCCTTCTCTCCACGGACGGGTATGCGCTTACCGGTGGCTATCACCAAATTAATGCGTTCTTGGTTGTATACGGAGTCCCAAAGGAACTGACTTATAAGTTGGGAACTGACAACCGTGCGAGAGGCTCCAGTCTATGGTCAGTTTACACGGCGTTCCTTTGACCTCGCCCTTGATGATTAGGCTGTTCCCATCATGGGTTTGTGAGATCGAAATCCTTGGGGCTCTTTTAACATCAGCCAGCACGCGCCCCACAGTCCTGCCTTTTACTTGTTTTCCTGCTGCTGCTGGGCGGTGCTATTAGCCGCACTACCCTCTCGAGATCGATCACCTTCCCTTTCTACAATTCACTTAGGGCAGTTGGGTCGAAGATGGCCTCTTTCCCACAGCCGTAGAACCTAGGGCTGTATCCTTTATTGCGGTCGCGAACTGTAGCTGCTGCAACCTCCCTGACGCGATGGGAACAATGATCCTGTCGCACGGCTTCCTCCTCCAGTGCATGGGTCAAGGCGTCCTTAAGCGTCTCGTGGTGCCCGAGCCTCACAGCAGCTCTGACGTCGCGGATGCCGTCGATGAATGTCTGCACCAGGTTCCCTACAATGAGCGCAGGTACAGAATGGTATGCTTTTCGAACCAGCTTCTCAACCTCAAGGGCCCACTGCTGCAGGTTTTCGTTATTGCGTTGCACGCGATCTTTAAGCTGCGCACGAAAGACGTGTTCCAGGGAGCGTCACCATATCTTGCCTCCAATGCCTCAAGGAGCTGCTCGTAAGTCACTTCCTTACCGAGAGCTCCCAGAACAGTTAAGGCCTGATCGCGCAGGCCTAGGGTGAGAGCAGTCATGGCCTGACTTTTATTCCAGACGTTCGCCTTCATGACAGCCTCGAATTGGATTTTGTAGGCCGACCAGGAAGAAGTCCCGTCGAACGGCGGCACTTTGAATCCACGTAGCGAAGGTGTTGTAGCTACCACGGGAGCTGTAACTCCATCCCCAAGTTTGAGGTCATACTACAGCTTTTTCCTCACGTCAGCCATCCCGTTGTCAACCCGATTGTACACTTGGTCGATTCGAGTTTCAGCTTCCGACAGGCGGTTGTCATGTTGAGCAACCCTATCTTTCACCTCCCTTATCTCTTTCCCGAAGGTAGCGTGAAGGTCCTTCATGAGGAGCATCTGCTCTTCCTTATCGCGATTAAGCTGCTCTTCCAAACAACGGGCCTGTAGGATAACATTGATCCCTTGGGAGAGAGGTCCCTAGTGTGGGATTTTACTTGCATAGCCACTTTAGCGGCCTCCCATTTCAGGGGTACCTCGTTTAGAGCCGGAACGGCATCAAAGGCAGCTGAACTGAGTAAGCAGCACAAATATGAGTCTCTGAGAGACGACTACATATTTGTACCATTTGCTGTAGAGACTATTGTTCCGTGGGGTTCACGTGCAGTGAAGTTCCTAAAGGAACTCCATCCGTGACCGGTTATTGCTGCTGGTGATAAGAGGGCTGGTTCTTTTCTCGCTCAAAGACTGAGTATAGCCATTCAGCGAGAAACGCAGCTAGAGTTTTTGGCACGATACCGCGGGTAAATGATAATTGAAATGAAATGAAGATTTATTTGCTTTGAAAAAGGGCTACATTTAGGTGGTTATTATATATAATATAATAACCTGTAAAAGTTATTATATATAATATAATAACCTGAAAAAGCTGATCTGAAGCCATCTATAATAGCATGCAAATACATTTTTTATAGTTAAATTTATCATATTACAATATAAAATTCAATTAAAATATTTATCTTCATGTCAATGTTTACAAATGAGCAATACCAATACATACAAAATTTATATATAATTAAGATTAAAATTTAATTAAAAATATATAACTACTGTTGTGTCACATCATGTCAAATTTAGGTCATTCACATTATAAAAACAATATTCATTTAGCCACCTGTAAAAAGCGCCTTTAAATCTATTAAGGGGTAAGTCTTTTATATTTTGGGGTATTTTATTAAATATGAGAATACACATCCAGTAGCAGTTTTTTTTAAATCGAGCACTCTTGGGTATAATTTCAGCAACAAATCTATTGCCATTTCTGGTATTTCGTGTGTAAATCTCTTTCGCTTGTCTGAAATAATACATGTTTTGTTTTACAAACTTTGCAATTTCAAAGATGTACAGGCATGGGAGGGGTAGTATTTTGAGTCGATGTACCGCCAAGAGGTCACGTAAGCCCATTTCTTGACGACAATAATATTCTTAAAATGGCTGCCAGACGCAAACTTCATTTAGCTTGTGTCCTTTTTGGCGTCATAAAGACAAAAAATCCAAAGTATCTTTTTAGTAAGTTAGACTGGTCTCGCGAGCAAACAAATCAAATAAACAAATCACATATTATATTATCTTTATATATAAAAATTACGTGTCACGTTGTATGTCCGCGGTGAACTCCGAAACCACTCACCCGAAATTTGCACACTCTGTGCAGTTTGGTCCAGCTTGAGAGATATGATAGTTTTTATCCCGATAAGTGACCCTTAATTTTTTTTTATTGCAAATTTAAGGATTTTATAGTACAAAGGTTCGCCGCTAAGGGCAGAACAACGTCTGCCTGGCCAGCTAGTGATTTTATAATATACACTGTTAAATTAAATTATGACACTTCTAATGTTCCCGTCACGCCTCACGTACCGTTCAGTAACTTACATTCAGCACAACTATACAATACGCATTTTCCATTTTGTTATTGTCATTCATCAGTTGTTATTGTCATATGTATCTACTACTCGCTTAATGTCGACAATTACGGCACGGTATCCGTAGGACCGTATGGGGCCGACTGAAAATCAGCGTTCAGCGTCGCTATCCCGCGGCTTATGGTGAGGCGGTCCATTTCGGCCACTTCATCTGTTTCGATTATTAAGTCATGAATTGTTGTTATATCCTCTATTTTTTTTTTTGTTTATTCATTTTCTTGTTTTTTAATATTTTTTTTTATTATTTTATTCTTATTCGTATTTATTTTGTTTATTAATTTGTCATATGTCATATGAAGTGTCGGAATAAATGTATTTATGTCTTTTAATTTTTTTAATTATAGTTTTTAATATTGAATATAATGAGAAGAATTGGTTCCTAAAAGAATATATTCGACTATATGCTGGAAGTACTTTGAAGAAAAATGTTTTTCTCATAGAGGTGTCCACTGTGTAGTGGCGGTGTAAGAATATCCACTAACCCATATCATCCCGCGGATGTCGTAAGAGGCGACAGAAGGAAACAAATCAGGAGATGAACAGCAGCGGCTTCCTAATAACGACTAAAAATAAACTGTTATTGCCAACCCGCATGCCAAGCCTGGCAACTATAGCAAATCCACCCTATGACGCAATCTATGGGGGAGGCCTATGTTTAGCAGTCACTTTAAGGGCGCTTTTAGTGTCACGCGGATTTGCTCACGCACGCGGGATTGGACCGCATGCGTAAAATTTCACGCTGCGGATCATACGCAGCATGAGTTTCAGTTTTCTACGGGCTGCGTAACGGTATAGACGTGTTCAAAAATGATCAATGTCAGAAGAATATGTGTCGCTTACATACTTTACAAACGACGAAACAAGAAGACAAGAGTACATGTTGATCCCTTTCTTGAAAATAGGCTTCTTGCTGGGGCGTTTGTTACACGCTTTGGAAAACTACAAAATAATGAACGTAAATTTAAAAATTACTTTCGAATGTCCATTCGTTCTTTTGATGAACTGTTGTGTAAAATTGAGAATAAGCTACAAAAAAGCAGTTTACGAAGGATTACAATACAACCGATTGAGAGGCTCGCTATTACATTAAGGTAAGTTTTAAATTTTAAATATTTAATTTCCTGCTATGATTTAGTGGAAAGGGATTTGAACAGGTAGGATAAACGTTTTTTGACTTCAAATTACTGTCATGTGTAAATTTACATGTGCAAAAAAAAATTTTGTCATGTACTCTGAAATTTCATTGTTCATAATTTCATTCAATTTCATGTTGAAATTTCATTAAATAAGATTATTTCACTCATAAAATGTCGCCATTAAAGTGGAATCATTCCTACCTTTCATCACACGCTACTTATTATAATATAGATAAAAGTTATAGGTTTGCACATGACAGTAATTTAAAGTCAAAAAAAGTCCTTAATTGGTTTGGGATTGGTACGTTCAACCTACATACACAATCCTTTTTTTATCTGATAAAGTACACATGGCCACAGATCAAGTTACCCAAAACCAGCATAAATGGAACTCGCGCCTTGCGTATTATCATACTTAGGTAACCCGTCGGAGTCCCGCTTATACTGGATTTGAGTAACTTGATCTGTGCCGTGTGTACAACCGCACTCATATGACTAAACAAACAATTAGAGAGAAACTGGAGAAAAAAAGTTAATCGTACTCATTTTAATAAAAAGAGTTTTATTCATAAATTAAAAAATCAAATTTTACATCATTCATTTCTTTGTAAATTTGTATCCTGAGCGTTGACATTACTTTCGCCTGTAGATGATGTTGTTGCTGGGGTATAAATTACGTCATAAGACGTGATATTAAACAGGCCGCTTTCAGTCGAAATAAGAGTTTCATTGTCATTCACTGCAGCAGAACTAATAGCATTGTCGTTAAGACTCGAAGTATCCTGGATTATACTATTGGTTTGGTAATCTTGATTTATCGGTGACAAACTGTCAAGCTCAGTAAAAGCACTAGAACTTGTTGTAGGTATGGGACTGTAGTATGCAGGTTGTGTTTGACTTTCCATTTCCATAACTATATTTAACACTTTTGTTCTGAACATTAGTTTTTGATATCTAGTGAATCTTTTTAATGAAGGCTGCAGAGACTGAAAGAAAGCCAAATCCTCACTTTCTAGCTCCAGTTGATTAGACTTTAAGCATTCTAATAACTGTGCCTCAAATTCAGATGGTGCTTGCTTTTTAGATTTTATTTGTTTTTGTTTTGATGTTGGGTGAGAACTTTCTTGACGTGAAGTATCTGGTTGCGTGGACTCATTAGGTGTTTCTAAATTACTTTGTTCAGACATTTCTTCACAGAGTGACTCTTCTCCAGCAGTTTCCGTTGTACTGTCTAAGAAAGTCAAAATGTCATAGTAAGAATATTTCTTCTTCTTCTTCTTACTCCCAGAGCCGGATGGCTGATTTTTTTCAGATATCTTGTCTTTCTGGTAAGTGTCCCTTGCTGTTCGCCAGCGTTGTTGTATTTTCTTGTCTGAAATGACAAAATATAATAAGTAAGTGGCAAAAGTACACACAGTTTCAGATCAAGTTACCCAAAACCAGTACCAATAAACGGAACTTGCTAGGGCCTCGCCGGGCGCCGAGTCGTCTACGATAATAAACAACGCATGAGTCCTGTTTATACTGGTTTTGGGAAGCTTGATCTGTGGCCGTGTGTACAAATCTGATATTAGTTGGAAATTTAACTGCATTCGATTAAAGGCCCTCCTTAATTCACACATGTTGTCAACTTTACACTGTCTCATGAAGCATTAGATAAATCAAGCAATATATATATACCTATACAGAGTGGAAAAATAAGGCCGCAGTTGAAGGAAAAGTACCCTTAGGCGCAACGCAAACGGCGGGCCGGCGCAGGCCGGTCAATTTCGCCGCGAACGATAGCGCAAAGTGAATCTTATACTAGACGCAGACGGCGCGGCCGGGGCGGCGCGGCGCAGACATCGACGAAATAATTCATTTTTTACAAAAATAATTAGAACTTCATTTAAGGATTTTTGGAAAAACACCGGATTGAATCGGGCAATTTGTTTATTTGTTACAGTAAAATTTGCCATCATCAAAATTAAGGTGAAAACTTCCGGAAGTCACTAGCGCTGTAAGTTTTTAATTTGTTTTAACAAAAATTTGCTTTATTTGCATCTGTCAACCTTCATGAAGGAGGACATCTTGTAATGTAAATATTGCCTGAAATAAACGATATTTCATTATATTATATTATATATATTTATTAGATTCCTTTCATTTGCCGGAAATTTTACCATAGGGGTTAATTTATACAGAGAAGATTTCTTATAAAATATTTACAGCATAGTTATGTGTCTCAAATCTGCTAAAAGTGGCCACTTTTAGCAGATATGAGATACATAACTATACTTCGAACTTTTCATATGAAATCATAACTGCATAAATACCCCCCTATGATAAAATTTTCGGCAAATCATAGAAATCTAACGTAGCTATAGTACTGTAGTTAAAACGAATTAAAAACTTCTAGCGCTAGCTACTTCCGTGCCCTTTCACCTTAAGGGTATTTATTTTTCTTCTGAAGTAAAATTCGAGCGGTGCATGCTGTCTTATGTCTGATGTCAGCATTATTAATATATTATGTTATCATATTATTAATATATTGTTTTTGTTTTCAGATATTTGGCAACTGGTAATACATTCACTGATCTACACTATTCCTATGTGATTGGAATTGCAACAATTAGCGAAATAGTAAGACAAGTTTGTTACATAATATGGATTGAACTAAAGTCTGAATGTATTCCACAGCTTAATGGGATCAAATGGAAAGAAATCGCAGAGGGATTTCTCACATATACAAATTTTCCTAATTGCTTGGGTGCAATTGATGGAAAACATATAAGAGTGATTCGGCCGCCGCACAGTGGATCACTATATTTTAATTATAAGAAATATTATTCTGTAGTGCTCCTCGCAATGTGTGATGCTGATTATAATTTTACATATATTAATGTCGGTACCAGTGGAAGCAACGCCGATTCAACCATCTTTAGAAGGAGTCAATTGTATACGAAACTGGAAAGTAACACGTTGGGTATCCCTGACCCGCAAGAGTTGCCTATTATTTGCCCCGAAGTAGCTTATCCATCTAGTGTAAGAGCAAAGTTGCCGTTCGTGATAGTGGGAGACGAGGCATTTGGTTTATCATCACATGTGATGCGGCCTTATGCTCGTGATAATTTACCTTACAAAAAGAAAATATTTAATTACCGTCTGTCCAGAGCTAGAAGGTACATAGAATGCACTTTTGGAATTATGTCAAATAAATTTAGAATATTTCACAGATCCATGAATGTCAAGTTAGATCTAGCACAATTAATAGTCAAGACGGCATGTGTACTTCACAATTTCATAAGGAAACGGGATGGCTACAAGGTCAGCCATACATTTGTCACAAATGGTTTTACGGGACCACTACCCAGGCAGCAGACTGAAAGTAGTAATACGTCGGCAAGTAATATCAGAGATATATTTGCAGATTACTTTATCAATGAAGGAAAAGTCTCCTGGCAACACCTATATATAATTAATTAACTAAACTCAAAAGGTTTTAGAAGGTTTTTGATGTTATTTGTGAATTAAATAATTATGCTTATATTAATAAAGTAATGATGCTTGTATAAATAAAATAATGAACCAAACACATACCCGCCTCTTTTCTTTCCTCTTCGCTCAAATTTTCGTAGTTAGGTGCCAATTCCTTCAAAATATCTCTCCATGCAGCCTCCCTCGCGTCCCTGTGTTTGTATAATTCATTGCGTTTATCCCACAAAACGGGCCGCAGATGAACTTCAATGATTACTCGTTCTGTATCGATTTTCATTTCGGTAGTACAATACGGCGCGTGCGCCCCGCTCGACTCTAAAATGGGCACTGAAGTTGTAGGCAGCGCTTACGCATGCGGATACCCCGCACCGGGGTGACGCCCCGCACAGCGCCCCGCGTCCCGCGTGCGTTTATCACGCTTTACAATAGATACCTATATGAAATTGTTCTTTGCGGATGCTACGCATGCGGTCCAATCCCGCGTGCGTGAGCAAATCCGCGTGACACTAAAAGCGCCCTAACAGGCTAAGGTTGGAATTAGGGGAAAAGTTTCATATTTAACTTTTGTTTAAATAATATTTCGTTTAATTTAACGTTTCACTTGCTTTCGCTTAATTCTAATGAAACTTGACACATAGGCGTAGTTTACATAACTTATCAATATTATGGTAACCTCAAGCTGAACCAGTAATGGAAAATGAAGGGATTCTGGATTCCCGGAACTGAAGGGAGTCGAGGGGATCACCTTAAAGGTGTTTAAAGCAGTTTTTGTAGCTTGTGCCTGCTCTAACTTGAGTTTCAGCTGAAGCTCTGATGAGAGATCTATTTGTTTTCCATTATTTCGATCTATTACAGGGTATAAAAATCCACTGCTGAACATATGTCTCTCCCATAGATTGGCTCATAGGGAGCATTTTGCTATAGTCGCCACGCTTGGCGGGCGATTTGCCAATCGCAGGTTTTTATTATTTTGTGCTGATATTCGGAATATGCTGCTGCCCATCTCCTGTTTTAGTTTCCCCTCTGTCGCCTCTTACGACACCCACAGGACGGTATGACGTAGTGGATTTTCCATCACCGCCACTTCACACTTTCAATATTTACCTTACTTAAATGTATATTTATGTAAATATATCATTTTCTTTTGTATATTTAACCAGCCCAACCAAATAAGAATGTTCTAAGTATGTAAATATATTCCATTAATAAGTTAAAATTAAAAATTTTGTGCAGCCGACTTCAATATAAGTTATTAAGAATTACACAGAAACTATTGGTCTGACCTTGATCGAAATTATATGGACCAAACGAGAAGTACCAGCTTTCAAATAGAAAAAGAATCATCGAAATCGGTTCACCCAGTTAAAAGTTATGAGGTAACACACATTAAAAAAAACATACAGTCGAATTGAGTACCGTCTCCTTTTTGGAATTCGGCAGAAAATAAAATACTTTCTCCGAAACAGCTCCAACGAATTGGATGATTTTTGGTAGTTTTGTAAAATGCGCAGCTGTTGTGGATATAATGCTTTATTACAAACAGTACATCGAAAATATGCGAAAATATTACTAGCACTTGCCGCATAAAGAGGACCTTGCCATAGTTACCACGCTTGGCAGGCAAGTTGGCAACCAAAGCTTTTTATTATATTGAGTGATTATCAGAAAGGCGCTGTTGCCCGTCTCCTGCAGTTTATTTCCCTCTGTCGCTCCTCACGACACCCACCCACATAGGGGGTAAAGGATATTCTTACACCGCCACTACACAGGGCTTAATTCGCATGTCACAGTTGAAATTTAAAATATTCTATTTAAATTAGCCTTTTCTATTTAGACTCCCATTCTTCAGACACTTCGAGAGCTGCTAGACAAAAATCGTATGGGATTATGATCTAGTGATAGCAGTGTATTAAACGTATGTACCTATTACTTACTTACTTATCTTCACGCACAATCCCTGACGGGGTAGCCAGAGAGAACAGATCGCCAAGTGTCACGATCCCTATAAACCTCTTTCGCTTCTTTCAGATTCATTATCTTCTTCATGCATGCACGTCTAGGTATCCGAGTACTTTTGACCCTACTCTCTTCGAGCAATTTGCTCACATGGTCTTCGAAAGTTAGTCTCGGTCTACCTCGACACCTTTTAATATTAACTTTCGCGCTATATATTTTCTTCACCATTCGGTCTTCACTCATTCGCTCAACGTGCCCAAACCACCGAAGCACGCCCTTATCAATTTTTGTGATCAGGTCATCTTTCAAACCTGCCATATTACCTATTACTTTATGTAAATACTCGTGGATCGATAAAAGATAAAGTAAATAAAAGCAATATATATTTTTACGTTATTTTCAATTTTACTCTATTTATTTATTTACCTACTTATTTTTTTTTTTGAATAGCTTATTAAATAAAAGATTACGGAGGGCGAAGTTAATGCCTGTTGGCGTTCTCTAACCAGTCCAACCTGTTTGATAAGAAATAGTGAATGACGAAAAAAATGCAGATGCGTCGTCACCCCTGAGGATTAAGATGGAATGCTTCGTTTCCAGTTTTATTTACTCATAGACATACTCATTTTATCACGACCCTGAAATGGTTTTGATTATCTACCCTCCCCCATTCTCTCCCTCTAACCGCCACACTTAGGCCCGCCATATACATACGGAATTCCGTTTCGAGATTCCGTTTCGGAATTCCGAACGGTCGGCCACACACAAACGGAATCCCGTTTTGCCCGCAAAATATCGAACGGAAAACTACCGTACGTGTGTGGCGGGTCATAGATTTTATATGGACTTGCTGCGTTCGGGATTCCGAATCGGAATATCGAAACGGAATCTCGAAACGGAATTCCGTTTGTGTGTGGCCGACCGTTTGAAATTCCGAAACGGAATCTCGAAACGGAATTCCGTATGTATGTGGCGGGCCTAACACGCGCAAAGTGCTCGGCGGTAAAGAAAACATCGTGAGCAGACCTACCATGTCTGAGAAATTGAAAAAAAAATATTTCGAAGACAAGTGAATTAAGGTACAATTCCGTAGCCGACCGCAGACAGCAGCAACAGGCGACGTGTCGTCGCGACACTACTGGCACATGAGTAAAGAAACCGACTACTCTTTACTCTGTGCTACTGGTTTCTATGTAGTTCTATGAAATACCTTCCGTAGCTAGCGACACGTCGTTTGCCGCTACGGGCCGAGCGGCAGACGACACTGTAGCCCGACCGCAGATCAGTAGTGCCGCCTTAGCCCGAGCTACACATATATAATATTTGAAAAAATATGTATAGGAAAGAAGTTAAATAAAAGCAGTAAATAGGTATATATATATATATATATATATATATATATATATATATATATATATATATATATACTATAACAAACAAAATATAGTACCTTTTTGTTAACATAAATTACACAGAACATTCGGAACAGATTGGAACACGGGCTGCTGCCGCCTGCAGTCGGGTTCGGAATCATGACTGCAGCGACATGACGCGACGACATGTCGCCTGCTGTTGCTGTCTGCGGTCGGCTACGGAATTGTACCTTTATGCCAGGAAATCTTATGGCCTCCGATAGGTGACAGTTTCCCAGACCGGCGGCGACGGAATACAGCATAGATTACTGTATATATATACTAGGAATACAGTGTCAAACGTGCGTAACATCTGAAAATGCAATCCGCCTGATAAGCATGGCGACTAAATTAAATCCTCCCTAAATCAAAAAGGCTTTTTCCTGCAGTAAACGGTTATTCTATTTTACAGCAGAGCACGCAGAAAGTTATGCGAAAAAAGTTTTTTTGCATGAGACACTGGCCAGTTATAATTTATTTTGAAAATACTATTATATAGGTACCTAGAAGAAAAATACGAATGAACCAATTTGAAAATTGCCTACATATTTTTACGGACTAAATGTAAATTTAGAAATTGATCTACGTTTGGAACATTTAAAAATGTTATTTAATCGGTTGCATAAATATTCATTGATATTATTTTAATTACCAGTTTACAAATTGAGTTACCATTTCTATATCCAGTATTTTATACAACACTGCAATTATAATATTTAGAAAAAAAAAAGTTACGTGGGACCTTAAATTATTAATATTGTTAAGTACTACGTATTTCTTTTAGTTTTAGTTTTTTTTTATTATAGATTTTTAATGTTACATTTTTCTAAATACGACTTAAACATACTACTCAATTCAATATGTACAAATAACCTAAGTCCGCATTAATAAACGTTCCTCAAAGACGAATTCAAGTGCGTAATCATTTGATACGCCCTCATTTTGATATCAGCATCCCAAGGTTGTTGCTATAATAAACACATAAAAACAGTATCTCAGTTACCAAGATCAGTTCCCCAATACGGCTTGATCTCGAGTTTCAAATTCAAATTTAATTGCCAGAATGTAATAGTACATACTACATAGTAATATGATGTTGTTAGTTATTAATAAAACCTTAAATTTTACCATGATAATCACAGAACACTAATACCCTTAGGCGGGATGATAATGGCGTGCAATGTCTTTACAATATACAAAAAAAAATTTATATTATTACAATTTAATGAAGTAAATTATTACCTAAAGAAAATTAATTAGATGTGTAACTATTTAAAAATATTTTAACGTCAAGTTTTTAATTTATTTCACGTTATAATGTTGTTTTCTACTTATGTAAGCCATAATAAATTGTTAAAACTGTTGTGTACGTATTTCTAAATACCATTAGAACTCAACATGTAAAATAAGCATTATAGCGACAGCGTCAGTGTCAAAAAATATACGACACCAAACAACATCTGCTCGTTTACATAAAACATCACTGATCTCGCATTATAAACTTACTCAAACATTTTTACGTAAAGATTGAGAAAAAAATGCTTTCTCGATATTATTAAAAGTATAGGATTGTGGTGGAAAATATGGAGACCCATGGCGTATCTCAAAAGTATGGTAATTCAAAAGAATTCCAAGGCACACCATATTATATAAATTATTGGTAAAGATTTCGTGAAGGCCCCGTATAATATCGTAATAACAGGTACTCTATTTCATCGTAATAATTAACTTAATTCAAAATATTTTCAACTCCATGTTACGTGCTACTATAGTCACGATCTCAAGTCAAGGACCGCCCTCAATCAGATTTTAGCGTCTCAAGTACATATAATATATATTCTGTATTTGAGAGTCGAGTTTCGTTTATTAAACAGTGCGTCACTCATCTGATAACGTAAACCTAACCCGCAACTTGAGTTATGTGTAGTAATAAGAGGGAGAGAGAAAGAGATAGCCTCAAGATTATTCTCAAGTGCGTGTACTTGAGCCGAGGAACGTTTATTAATACGGGCCCCGCACTAAAGCGACAACAACGTCTGTCAGTGTTTAAAGAATACGCCACAAAGCAACATTTTGTTCACTTAAAACATCTCTGATCTCGCATTATAATTTAATTTATACAGAAATGGAAAGCAAGAAGCATGTGTTTACTCCCATGGAGAAAAAATGCTTTCTCGATATTATAAAAAAATATAGGACTGTGGTTGAAAATAAGGAGACAGATGGCGCGTCTTTGCGTATTAAAAATGAGACTTGGAGCAAAATATCTGCAGAATACAACGCTAGTCCACACGCATCTAGCCAGGTAAGTAATCTAATATATAAAAATTCATTTGTGTATTTTATGCGCAGCCATACCGTTCATCAGATTGCGCTAAAACTTTGTCAACTTATTACTTGCACTTGCGCGAAGGTTATAGGCCTCGCGCCATCTATTGTAAATTAATTGTACATAGTACATTACAATAGATGGCGCGAGTATCAATTCATTTGAAAGTTATAATATTATATTACTCAATTTCATTAAATGTATTATCATTCCTAATTAAACAATATACATAACTCTTCAAAATTTAAAATGATCCAATATTTTTTTCTGCGGTAGAAACGCTCTGGGTACCAGCTGTTTAATTTTAGTATTACAAATACACTTTTTTTACATTCTAACATCATTAATTTGCGATTTTGACCATAATTTCCATTTCATGCACCTAGTCATGGCATCTTTATTTTATCCTACATTCAACATTAATACTTTAGGCGACAACTAAACAATTACGTCGGCTCTGGATGAATTTAAAGCAAAGACGGAGGGAGGCACTGAAAAAAGAACGCGAACACCGCTTGGCCACTGGAGAAGGGTCAACAATAAGTGATGCCACCTTTGATTCTGATATCGCCAAAGTAGAGCCAGCATTTGGTATGGATACTGATATTGATTCAGACACAGTCCTAGGTAAATATACTTATGTACTAGTATATATACAAATTTATAAAAAGCTCTAATCAATAATATGTCTGAGCTTAATGCATCAACTATGTTTTTCAACTCTAATAGCCACGACTATAGCCCAAACGCAACAAACAGCCCTGGCAGGTCAGCGTCAGACGGACTCAATTTTGGAGGGAGGGGACGAGGATCGTCAAATGAGGGCTGAAAAACATGAAATGGAAATGAAGATTCTTCATTACCAGCTCCGAGAAGCCAAGGCAAAAGCTGAACTAGCTGAGCTGATCCTCAAACAAAAAAAACTATGTTGCTCAGGTAATGTTAATAAAATGATAACTTTATTTATTAAAGTACTAAGTACATATCCGGACGGCTCCGTGGCGCAGTAGCTTAGCAATGAGTTGTTGCGCTGGGGGCCGCGGGTTCGAATCCCGCACGGAACAAGTATTTGTATGGCCTGCAAATAATTGTTCCGGGTCTGGATGTTTGTCCTCGTGCAATCTATGTTTGTATACTGCCTCCACGATACAGGAAAAAATCCTAGTGTGGGGGTAACGTATTTTAAAAATCAAATGAAAAATGAAAATATCTACAAATAATGTTAAATAGTTCAGTTAACCCTCTAACCATGTTACAATAATCACATTTTATAGGCATACTAGTTACTGGCGATCCGCCCAGGATTGTTAGGGTTGATTTCTGGATCTCGACAACAACGCCACCTACCGGGTCCAATTGTGCAACTTACACGCACAAAATTTCATCAAATTCGGTCCAGCCGGTTAGGAGTTCAGTCACATACGCACGGACAGAAGAATTATGTGATATATAATATGCATGTATTATATATATATGAACCTTCCTTATGAATCATTCTATCTATCCGTGAAAATCTCAACAAAATCCGTTGCGTAGTTTAAAAGATCTAAGCGTACAGACGGCGGGAACGACTTTATTTTATACTATGTGGAGATGAGACCTAATACAGAGCACTTGAGAGCACAGTTTATCACAGTTGATGATGGGTTAATTGTTTCTTGTGGTTTACATACAAATACAAAACATTGTTTTCTGTTACAGATTTGACATCATAGAATGTGGTTTAACTTTAATGTAAAATGATGCGTCTAAACATGTTTAAAAAAATGATGCGTCTAAACATGTTTAAACATACAACAAGTGCAGTACAAATCAACGTTTGAAGAATTTGCCTTAGTCGCTTCCAAGATAGACTAAGCAAAACCTGAAACACATTATGTTGCTTTTGAAGTTTGGCTAAAAAGTTGGGTACCTACTTCTAGGTTTATCTAAAAATACATCAGTCAAAGGCAGAAATTGCAATCTATTTTGGGGTTTGCCGAAAAACGTTGGTCAAACCTAGGATAAACCGGTTATTCCCCGATGAAGTTACTTATCGACCTTTGATAACACAGCCTCCATTTCTTTACATTATAGTATTATCATTAAATATAATAAACAGGCATTTATTTACTATTATGGTGGTTTAATTTCAGTCTTTCAATATGACATGATATATTTCAATATGTCTATAATTATTTTAAAAAGTAACTTTAAATGAAATAAACTACATCTAGGTATGTGATAATATCTTAAATTTGGATAACAATTTAAGTATAAACTTTATTTATTACAGAAATTTAAATCAATGAACGTCAATCTATATAACTAAAATGTTAGAAATTTGCAATTGTGCGCGCATCACGGAAAAACCACTGGATAGATTTCAATTAGGTTTTCTAAGTTTTATTACTTAGACACTTGGCCCTTATCTAAAAAAATATTGTTATTATTGATTATTGGGATATCTTCATTTAATAATTCTGTTATAGTTATTAAAGTTTTAAGAAACAACGATTTTTATAAGCACTACGTGTTCTGTGATGTGTGTTTTCTTGCCGCGGAGAAATGGGAAGTTGTATTTATATACTTATATATTTATTAGATATAATATATCGAAAACTTTGTTAACATATTAAGCAACGTGGACGTAGTCGCGGGTGTCAGCTAGTATACATATAATAGCTATATCGCCCCGCGGTGTTACCCGCGTTCAAGTTGTAACGTCCGATCGCTTAATACGGAGATCTCAAGCTATATCTTATATTTCGGAATGATAAAGATGGCAGATTTTAAGTTAGACTTAGGCCTTTCAAATGATGAAAAGCGCTCGGACAATATTTATCTTCGTACTCCAGTACATCACTCCACCTACATCAATTAATAATTTTCTGTTACAGCTGTACACTTGTGGAACTCCATACCTTTATAATATTATATTCGCCGTGATCAATTCCTTTTTTCCTTCTAAAATCTACTCAAAGCTCATTTCTTGAAATGAACCGAAACGCTAATGAACTTAGTAATTTATTAGGTATTAACCTACGCACTTAATTGGTGTATGATGAAAATTTTGTACAATCGACTTCAAAACACTCACCTAAATCGGTTAACATCATCAATGTAGTCGAAGTCAATTAAATATGCATTATTATGAATAACTCAAAAACTACTGGTCAGATCTTGATCGAATTTATATAGGGACCGCATGAGAAGCAGCAGCTTTTAAATAAAAAAAAACAATCACCTAAATCAGTTCACCTAGAAAAATGTTTTGAGGTAACACATAAAAAAATACAGTTGAATTTAGTACCTCCTCCTTTTTTTGAAGTCGGTTAAAATGATGGGCAACGACCGAATCCACCATAAACATGTTTTATTGTGCCATGTATGTCACAAGTGTCATGAGAAACGAATATAGGAAACCACGGAAATGTTCAATGATCTTTGATGGATGTTGGTAAAACTCTGGCATAATATCCTTCGAAAATAATCAAAAAATCTTTATTTTCAGACAGTAATACTTAAAATTAAATACATTATTGGAACACTCCTTTTAAGTTAGGAAACTTGTGAAGGACGGGAAGAGCAGAACCTCCTAGGTTCCGCTTTTCCCGTCCTTCATTTATAGAAATTACTGTTTAGAACTTGAGTAACACATAGATTTTTGACTTATGTTAAAACTTATATAGTATTTTTACAGTAAAATATGTTAGTTGTGTGATTGTGTAATGTATGTGTATGTGGTGTGTGCATGTTGAGGTATGGTATATTTAGTAAATTATTAATTATGTGTAACAAGTTAAGTAATTTTGTCTAAAAGTGTTTCGATTTCGTTGTAATTTAAAGTTTTCAACCATTCTATTGTTTTCTTTTTAACTTCTATACTATGCAATGGATATATGCTTAAGATTTTATTTATTTTATTATATAAGTATACTGCCCTTTTCTCATATTGTAGGTATTGAAGCAAATGTCGTTTTACAGCGATCGGTATGTTTAACTACTAAGTCGCTTCTTCTTTTGTTTGTCTTGTCATGTTCATACCTGGTAGATTTATGAATTTTAAGCAATATGAACAAAATATATAACTTTCGAACTGACAAGACACCAGACAAATTATAAAGGTCAGTAGTGGGGAATCGGTATAGTTTGAAATAGCAGACCTTAAGCAGTGCTTAAGGTCTGCTATTTCAAAATGATGATGAGCTTTAAAAACAATGAATCTTGTTTTTAAAGCTCCTCCCCATACTGGGATACAATAAGTAAGAAGAGATTGAGCCAGTGCTGTGTATACTTTATTTAGTAATTCGGGGGTTGTCACATGTCTTAATTTTTTTAAAATCCACATTAATTTTCTTATGCGGCCAGTTATTAATTCAATATGGTTATACCAAGACAGTCTCTGGTCAATAAGAACACCTAAATATTTTGTTTTGTCCACTCTATCAATAACAGCACAGTCACAATTAAAAAGTAGGCTGTCTTAGCAAGTGTGTATTTTAATGGTGAAGTTGGCTGGTGGTTGAGTGTAATTGCAAATAGAGAAACAAATATACTCGTAATTTGTTTTATGCGTTTTTAATGAGAGTAGGTTGTTATTTAACCAGGCTGCTATAGTTTTAAGTCCCGATTCTGTACATATTTTCACTTCCTCCCACGTGTCTCCCGAAAAAGTAACAGCTATATCGTCAGCATAGGAGAAGATGTGACCGTCAGGAATAGAAAGTTTGCACAGCTCATTAATATAGACCAAAAACAGCGTAGGCCCTAAAACGCTACCCTGAGGGACGCCGAAAACTACATTTTCTTCATCACTCAACACAGCGTCCACATGAACACGCAGAGTGCGCTCATGTAGGTAGCTGAACATCAGGTTTAAAGAAGTATCCCTAAAGCCGATAAGCTCCAAAAACTTTAAAAGATCAGAAATAGAGACCGTTTCAAAAGCCTTTCTCAGGTCTAAAAATACTGTCATACACTTTTTGCCGTTATCTAAATTCTTTACGATTAAAGAGCTTAATGTGAGAATTGCGTCTTCTGTGGAAAGTTGTTTTCTAAAGCCAAATTGTTGATTTGATAAAATATTATATTGATTTAAGTAGTTTAATATCCTAGTATTTAAGATTTTCTCTACAATTTTGGACAAAGCTGGTAGGACAGAAACAGGACGGTAGTTATTTATATCGTCTCCTCTGTTTCCACTTTTATAAACAGGCGTTACTAATGATTGTTTAAGTGCGTAAGGAAATATACCACTCTTTCCATTCTTATAAGTCATCCTTAAAAGTCCACTGCACGTCATGAAAGACTCTACCTCTACCTCCTTCTCTACAGTTGTTGAAATGATTTTTTATATGATAAGTGTGACAATCGACCTGATGGTAAGTGGTTGCTATGGCCCATAGACTATGCAGATGCGTCGTCACCCGTGAGAACTAATATGGAATGGCTCGTTTCCAGTAAAAAGTGTCTCCGGTTCTCTACACTCGATACGAACACAGCAGCTTTTTTCAGCGTTTTAGCGTATTTCAGCTAGTATTTTGTGAAAGCGTAGTCCTTCCATGGCCGAGCCGACCCATTCGTGCTACAACTATACCACTAATATAGCTGCAGCATGGCTCTACCATATAAGATTTGCCCAAGTCGTCACATTAAAGATGTAAAAAATAATTAGCTACTAGCCGTGGTAGCTTAGGGGCTTAACGTTCGCTGTAAATTTCACTGTACACGAGCAACCCTTGTTCGATCGCCGCCGGCACCAATGAAATTGTTAATTGCAATTTTAAGTGCTGACTTACCACGTGCTCGGCGGTGTAGCAAAACATCGTGAGGAAACCTGTATGTCTGAGAAAAAGAAATATCTCGAACACATGTGAAGTCCGCCAACACGCATTGGGGCAGCGCGCCGGACACTTCCTTGGCCTGAAACCCTTTCAGAAGTGAGAGGAGGCCTGTGCCCAGCTGTGGGGCGTATAAAGGCTGTAACTTTACGTTACTTCACATTATCTATTATCAGTGTGCAAAATAAAAATCATTTATCTTTACTCTTAACAAGTTTACACAAAACCTCCCTCCCTCTCTAATTTGCTTGCTCTATCACCGTCAGCACTCACCTCAACACCACTACCCCCAACTTCACTATTCTAGAAATGACAGAAAGTAATCGTAAGTGCGAGCTCCGATTGTGTGCTACCGAGTTCGATTCCCCAGTCGGCCTAAAATCTGTTAACAGATTTTTCTGTAAAAAAAATACTGTCTAACAGTCTGGAGTCAGAAAATATTACACCGTCTTGCCTCGAAAAACACGGTTGACCTTGTACCTGATCTTTTTCCGTCATTTTTTTTATAGGATAGGGGTGACAAACGAGCACAACAAAATGCAGATGCGTTGTCACCCGTCAAGACTAAGATGGAATGCCTCTTTCCCAGTAAAAAGGGTCTCCGGTTCTCTACACACACCATACGAAACAGAGCAGCAATAATGCTTGTATTCTGTGAGAGCATGGTCCTTCCCCGGTCGAGCCTACCCATTCGTGCTACAACTGTACTACTAGCATGGCTCTACCACGTTAACAACGTTAACAACTCGTTAACAACGTGGTAGAGCCATTCATATCGGAATGCTGTCCCATCGGGCTATGAGAGTGAGGGAATAGAGACTGCACCAGTGCTTGCGCATACACTCGTGCACTATTATCTTGTCCTGCGCAGGTGGCTAGTTGAAGAAGAAGTA